AGCTGAGATGAAAATTTACTCGTAAGTTTTAATGTAGTTGGGGAAATATGTCCAAGAAAATGTTCATTCACCCTTTGGGGCCTTACTTGTGTGTACTTTTCCTCATGTACTCATGAGTATTTCCTAATACCTGACACCCTATATATGCTTAGACTTGGCCTTATCTATCAATCCACAAAGTAAATACTGCATTACTTTGTATTTATAGTAATCGCAATTTTACTACTGCCGATAAACGTGACAAACTTTCATAATTCTTGGCAAAACAAAAACAAGTAAATATTTACCAAAGCCAAATTGTAGCCACATAAAAGTGAGAGCTGGCATAAATTGATTCATTTCGCTTGCTAATTATACCGAACGAAGGGAAAATAGTTCGAAGGAGTGGTGAAGCCAATTAACTTTGAGCCAAGTCCAAGTTTGTTTATAGAATTGGTAAAACAATCATTAAAGCAGATTATTGTAATTGGGAAAGTGTAATGGACACGAGGTCAAAGCGATTCCCGAATAGGGGTAAGTGAAACCAAACAGAATTTGGATAAGCTTTAACTCGATTTGCCTTTAAAGAGGTTCATTTTCCTGATAAAATGTATTTAATTCATCTTTAATACTTCCCCTTTGATTAGTGGTACCAACTTGGCACATGTTTTCCAGCCTATTTACCAATTTCTTGCGACTGCGATAAGCGTGCTTGGGATCCCTTTGATATGCGAATATCGTGCACATTTCCTTAATTATGCGCCGGCAAGCGAACCGATTGCACTTTATCGGAATGGAGCACGCACTCGAAAAGGTCATCAGCCGTCATCGATGGATCGGATCCGGATCCTTGGACTAGTTTATGACCCAATTATGCCAAAGTGTCTGGCAGTTGGCGATGCGTTTTCGCGCTATTGTAAGACCGCCGCCACCGCTCCAGAGCCCCTACTCAGATCTGGGTTGTAACCATGATTTGTTTGCTTGACTTGGCTGACACGAAGCCAAATGGCACACGCACACCAGCCCATGAAGCCAGCCCCTTTGTTCGGATAACTTTTAGCTCAGTAAACTGGGGAAAATGAACTGCTTATGCAGAGAGCATAAATTTAAGTGATTTAAGAATGTTTAATAAGCCATTTGTTCTTGAGAATAATGGTTAAGAGTTGGTTTTGAAACTTTAAATAAAAAGAAATGCCATAAATTATTGATCTAAATCTACTAAAATATTACTTCTTCTGCTTCTATTCTTTCTCAGATATGTTAAGAATTTCCTTATCCACTGATTTTTCGTTCTCTGCATAGCATAGTCCTTTGGCTTTCGATTTGATTGCTGCAATTGCTTGGCAATAAATAAATGAGAGAGGCGTTTGCAGTTCCAGAATGCTGTCTATTACGTGCCTGGCAAGAAAGTAGTTAGAATGCCCCTACATTGAAATGTAATTTAAATGGATTCCATGGCCCCGGCTTACGTGTTGGGTCACTGCGGCGGTGGTGACATTTATGCTATTGCTAGTGCCATCCAAAAGCTGTTATTTGCGCCTCCAGCTGCGGATTCGTGGAAATCGAGGAGTGAAAAACCCTTTTGGCGCTTTTGGCCCACTGCCAGGCAGCGGTTCATTCTGTCATAAAGACAACTATTACGACGACACTTTATGTCGTCGTCCTGGTCCCGGGGATATCCTATAATCAGCAGCAACGGCGACTAATGGCAGCACTTAGAGCTCCTCGCCCGGGACCTTCTGGCCGGACTCTCATGAAACTGTGATGAGGCCAGGTCGAAATGATTTCGGCATACTGTTAAATTCATTGGACACATCCCCGCCTTCCCATTAATGGCCATTTGCTGTTGCCAAATGTTGCGGATCCTGATGACGCAGCTTCATTAAGGTGTCCATTTCCTTTATTTTCTACTCAAACAAATGCTGCCAGAGATGCTCAAGGCTTGAGATAGTATTTATTTAATTTATTTATATTTTATATATTTCTGAAAATGGTATGCTTCTATGGATTTACAGATCTTTAATCCTTTTCTTTGATACCTCAAAATTAAACTCAATCTAACAGCACTGATTCCAACCTGTCACTTGGCCAACTTTTTGGCTCTGCAATTTTCAGCATTCAACAATTAGTGGCAGCTTACAGCTGCGATAGGCGGAGCTTAAGCCAAATGTTGCAAATCATAATCACAGTTTTCGCATCTTGTTAGGCCATTTTTTGCCCTGTTTTTTTGACGATTTTGTTTGCATTTTCCAGTGCCGCTTTGCAGATTCGCCTCTCTTGAGCGCTCATAAATTATGCAAGAGTCGTCCTTTTGGTTGTATTTGTTGGCTTTTTTGAATTTATGATGCCAACTTAAATCGCGAATATTTCGCTTTCTGTTTGTGTGTTCAGTCGAGTTGGTGATGTTGTAAAGCGCCTCAAGTGCTTGCCACGAACATTTTTGTCAAAATTTTTGTTGTCTGGCTAGGAAAAGTTTGTACTCTTTTTTGGTGTTGTTAATAAATTGTCGGTTGGAAAGTCCGAACTGGAGTCAACTTTTCTATGTCTGTGTTTTTTTTTCAGAACGCGGCCCGAGGCAATTGCGTGGTTGGAAAAGTACCCGTTGCAGGGCAAGTTTTCCTGAATGGTTTTCCCCGTTGCCATGGCATTACTCGTATATTTTGGCAGTAAGATACTTATCAACTTAATATGTATTGCAATGTGACTTTTTTCGGGATTTGCTATTTCAATTTGCTTGTGATGTCAGGAAATAAAAATAAAGTTTTTCCACGAGAAGTAACCCCATCGAAGACCTTAAGTTTGGGTGAAATTCCTTTCAGCGAAACATGAAATTATTAAACAAAGGAGAAGAAGCGTGAGGGAAATATCGGAATATTTGTTTGCTATGAAATATTTAATGGGAACATGCACAGAATGTAATGTTTCAATTGGCTTAGCCATCTTAAACGCTTTGGCCCGCTGGCAAGTCTGAAAGTAATTTTAATGTAATTGGCATTACGTGAGGGGGATTTGTTTTGGTATTTTTGGCATATCATTTTCATACAGATCTGAGGCCAGGCGCAACCCATAACGGGAATACCACCCCTCCAATCACGGCGAACGAGCATAAAAAATAGGCATTGCCTACAACTAGGCGCCAGCACACCCACAACAATGTCAAGGCAGGTCAACTTCAGGACAAAAAAAGGGAGAAAATCGAAAAAAAAAAGAATAACATCTAGGGGATGGGAAAACAATCGAAATCAGCAGCCCCCTTATCACAAATCAACTCAAATTACGAGCTCAAACACGCAAAAAAAATGAAAGCCGAAAAGGAAATATTTGTGCGTGCATAAAACAAAAGCGAAAACAACAACACCTACACACACATACACACGGGAAAATAAATGAAATTCAATCGGAAAAGCCGAGGAAAATCTCTACAAAATTTGACTGCGCAAATAAAGTAATATAGAGTCAATAAGGCAAATCGTCAGACTTGATTTGGATCATTATTACGCATACGCCGCGTTATGCAAATCAGACAATTTTCTCTCTGCGGCGAAAAACAGCGCTGCTGAGCTGGATATAATTTATAATTTATAGAGGAAATTGCGGACCGAAAAAGTACCAAGCCGTCTTATCAAGTTTGACGAGGCAGTTTCCACAAAGTTGGCAAACTTGTAACTGATTTTTGATTAAAATCTTATCCCATTACGTCGGCAGGAAGTGAAAGTAAGCCAAAGCTGAAAGTTTGCCGAAAGTCTTCCGCGAGTCTAACATATTGAGTGTCATGGCAAACCTTTAATTAAATTTTATTTGTTTTTTTTTTTCAGCAAATTGACAGATGACTTTGTTTTCTGTTTTTGATTAGTTTTTGGTAGGCTAGGGGAGCGCACGTGAAAAGCTCTTTCCTGCCCTGTTAAAAAACATATTTTTCTTTGCAAACATATTTTGATACGCAAATCTTCTCTGGAAAATTCGCATTTTGTTTATCTTGCGGAAAAGCTTGTTTTTATGTTTCATCCAAAAACGTTCGCAGAAAAAATGACAAAAAGGTTTATTTTTGTTCATCTCTAGGCTGTATTGGTTATTAGGAAACGTGTTTTTAAGACTAAAAGGACTAATGGATTTCGTTTTAGATAAGCTGGAAATCGTTTTTTTTTGTATTAAAGATCTTCTAAAAGTGCTAAAGCAATGCTTTTGCAATTCAAACTAAGCTAAAACATTTTTCGCCTATTGAAGTTTGTTTGCCTAGGGCTTTGTTTTTCCATTGCTGGCACTTATTTTTTGTACGTTTTCTGATTTTCCTTTATGTTTTCCGATGTCACGTGCAAGCGGTCAGCTCTTGTATTTGCCTAGTGCCATTTTGTGATTGTTTGCATTGTTTCAGGACCAGGACAAAGTCACTTTTTGTGCGGCTCTGTTGGCTTTCTTTATCTTTCGTTGATAGAGAACTCACTTGGACTTGATGGCGGGGACAATGGACTGGCAAAGGGATGGCCGAAGGAAGTCCTTGAAGGGTTCCTACGAGGGCTGCGTAGGAGCCGAAGGACTTGAACCCTTGACAGCCCTCTTTTGTCAAAATCTCAACTTCCACTTAAAGAGCAAAGTGTTAAGCAGAGGAACGCTACAACACTCCATTAAATTTTCCCCTGAAAAATTGACAGAGAAAAAGGAAGCCAATTGACTAGACTGCCATTAAGCCGGATCCGGATAAGTTGCCCAAAAATCTGCAGAAAATGCGCTTCAACTTAACTGCAATTGTTTGATAAGCGTTCAATTGCTCTCACGTCGAAGAGCTTTCGACTCGAGTAGAAATGTTCCTCGAGTGGCTTTAAGTTTCTCACAATTTATGAGTGCCTCTTGATCAGGTTTTACTTCTCCGAACAATTTACAATCCCAATTTCCAATTTAACATTTAATTATTTACAAATAAAAAGCACACGAGAGTGGCCAGTTGGTGGCGATATTTATAGCACTGCGCACATAGGTTGGGTAATTTATGGTCAAACAAATAATTCAAACGGGTTGACACTTACTGCAGAACTAGAGCCCGAAGTGTTGTTCCGGCGTTGATTTATGCAAATTATTCAACAGCTGTTCCGCAAATATTTGCTTTCACTTAATGCATTATCATTGGGAAAATCTCTTTAGTGTTGTTGCTCTCGTTTTTGGTTTCATTTACATTTTTATGAATATGGAATCGAACCTTGTTTATTTTACAACTTTTTCACTGATTCTGTGGGCTGTTCCAAAAAAATATTATTTAACTATTTGATTAAGAAAGGTTAATTAGGTTGAAAATTTGTTCAACGGGTTGCCTCTGCTTTATCTTAAATATTTCACTTTAAATTTGTTTTGAAAAATGTTAATTGGCCTTTAAACTTCAATTTAAAGTTTTAGGTTTACTTTGGTAAAGGAAATATAAATTTAAAACCTTAAAATATAATTTATTTATGTTTAATATTTGCGTTTTTTTTTAAATTTACAAATTATTTTAACTTTACTTTTGCTAATTAGAAAACAAGATTGATTTCAAGATCATTTTAACTTTTAAAAAAGTTTTCTTTTCAGATTTAAAAGTAGAGTTTTAAAAATTATAAGTTAACCATCGACTTGTTTTTATCCACAACGCACTTTGTTATTTTTAAGAAAGTTTTTTAAATATTAAAAAAATTATTCACTTTCGAAAATCCTTTTTTTAGTTTGTCGTTTAAGATCAGATAACTTAATATTTATTTTATTTGAAAATATTTTGTACTTGTTTAAATTAATTAAATCACTGAAACTCAGCTAGTAACGCAGCCGCAGCGCACGAATCGCAAAACGCAACTGACACGAGTGCAAGGGCAGTCAACAAATCCGCAGTTCAGTTCAGGATGGTTCGGTTCGGCTGGGGATATATACTTTAGCTGGAGGAACCGAAGCGACGACGATGCGAACGGCACCGAGAGGCGATGAAGACTGTGCGCGAATGGCGGCGCCAGAATCCGCAGTCTCGGTCGGTTAACTGATGTCAGTAACTGCTGCGTTGCCAACTGCTTTCTGTGGATTGTGTCCAAGGATTCCACAAGCAAAGACACTCGGCAAAGTCAATTTGCGTGGGCAAACGCAATGACAGTCTGCAAAGTAATTCTCTTAAGCCGGAAGCGGCTCTCTTAAGTCATTTTCTGCTGCGCCTGCGCCTTCCTCGAACAGCTGTTCTTTGCAGAGCATCAGCTGTTGTCCCCCATTTTGTTTATGTTTTGATGGCATTTCCTTTTGCTTTTCACTTCGGAGTTTTCTTTTCAATTTTCTTTGTTTTCTCTCCTAAGGCGAGGTTAAGGTCAGGCCAAAATGCGACAACAGATGGCGCTGTTGTGGCCGCGAAGGATACAAAAACTGAGTAGAAGGATGCGGGTCTCAGGAGCTCTGGTAGTAATGGTAATGGCTTCAGCTAATTTATGAACTATAGCCCACGTGGCGTATGCGTAATACTGCCAAGTAGTACCAGTAAGTTATAAATCATCGTTTGAGTTAAAGGTGCGAGTAGTCTGAAGGTTAGATCAACTTTAATGCAGAAATAGTAAGGAAAGGAAAGGGTTGTTGGTTAATATTGTCATGGCTTGGAAGCATCTTCTAATTTATGCCATTAGGCACACGTGGCGTATGTGTAATGTTAGGAATAAATAGTCGTTATAATAATAAATCATTTTAGTAATTTATTTTGAAACTAATGTAGTTGGTAGCCTAGACACGAGCATGTCATAATCTGGGACCTCAGTTAATTTATAATCCTCAGAAGTTGATTATTTATGCGTCTGGAATTTGCATTTAAATCATTGTTTTAGCTAAAGAAGAGCAAGTAGTTCTGAGATTAGACAAATGTTGAATTTATGAAGGCGTGTAATGGCTTATTGCAAATTTACCTTTAAAGGATGTGTGATATTGGGGGTTAAGGTAAAGGTATATGCTAAATCATACATTTCATGATGAAGAAAATGTAATAATTCCATTTATTACCACCCAAATCTCGTCTTATGATATTGGAATGAAGGCTGTTCCTGTGTCAAGTATCCCAAATCCTTAAATTATTATAGCTCAAATTAAGAGTGGCACAAATAAAGTCTTTTCGGGTTAAACTAAACCCAAAAACAGCTGCCAATCTGTGGGCTGCGAGATGCTAGCCTTTTACCTAGCCTCAAATAGCCGGCCATTTGTCAGGCAAACACCCGTAGATTTTAGTGGCGGCTCAGACGGGCTGAATTTATGGCCGGTTCCCTTTATGCAAATGAGACCGAGTAGAGGAAAGTGTCCAAGTGTGAGTGGCGGAGGCGCCAGTTGAGAAAGTAGAGAAAGTGTCGCCTGCCATGTTCCAGGCGCATGACAATCACTTTTGCTTTTACTTGTTTAATCCTTTAAGACGTTGTCTGTCGCCCCACAGGCAGTCCTTTTTTCCATTTTCGTCCTCCTTCGCTTTGCACTACTGTTGATTTTGGCCAAATTGAATTTATAATGCTGGCGGAGGTTACTCCATACGCCTCCGACAATTTGGAAAAAATGCGAATAATCATCCCAAAATGGTGATACTGATGAGGGAAAATATATATATTCAGCTGCCTTTAACACGAAATTACATAACATTTGCACATTTTTATTTATTTTCTATGAATTCACTTAAAAACCAAAGCAAGTTCAGTGTTAGTTTAAACTTTTCAAGATGTAAACAAAACTGAAAGTATATTTTAATGAACATTGCTTTAGAAATCAAGACTTTCCCCCAAAGTGGCCCGAAATTATTTGGCAGACTTTCCTCGTTAGTGCTTCCTCCGGATTTCAATCCACCAAATGGCCACTGGGAATGCGCCGAAAATATATATCACAATGTGCCATCGTTTTTCATCTAAATTTTGGGGGTCTGCTCCAGATACCTAATAAAGGCACAGAGTTTTCTCAGCTGCAGGAAGTGGGCGGAAACTGCAACAAACTGCATAATTAGTGAGAAGCTGGGTCAAATGCAAATCATGGTGAAAACGCAGATTTCCATGGAAAGATGCAGCTGCTGGGGGTAGCCGAGGAAGTCATGAATTACTGTGAAATATTAATATAACGATTAGATGGGCAGACTCTACCTAAGTTATGTTTTATGGCGTTCGAATATGAATTTAACGAAATTTAAACTCTTTCTAATTCAATAATTCAGCGCGGAAACACTTGACGGCAACCAATTAAATTTTACCAGAATTCCCATAGAATGTTTTTCGTATTTATTGGTTTCCGCGAAACATGAATAAAACCTCCATCGCCTGGCATGTTTTTCAATTAAATAAAACAATTTATCGCCGAATATTTGGTGAATATTTGCAGTCATAAATAAAAAGCCAAAAACTGTAATGCAAAAAACAAGTATTGTTGGCCAGTGAAGTGAAAGCTCATGGAAATTCAGCGGACTGTAAAGGGAACTAAAAAATAGAATATGTAAACCAAATACGAATGGAAGGGATTTTTCAAACTAATTTATTAATGGCTATGATTATAGAGTACACAAAAAAGTCTTTAGTCATATTTATTGAAAAATATTTTTATGGCCAAAAAATAACTAAAATTTGTGCAAATATTCAAATCAAATCGAATTTATTCAAGAGTGCATTGATTTGCTGTGCTATTTCATTCGATTTTTGCCGCACATATTTATTTAGCTGTTGGCTCCAATCGAGTGTGTATTGTGCTGACAGCTTGCCCGCAATTTTCTCTCCACGCACATATGTGCATGCCAATCAACTTGGCCTAAAAACAAGCTTAAACTTTGTTCGATATGGTGATGAAAATTAAGCTTTTAAACTGAAAAATGTACTTTGTCTTAAACTATCATCACCACTTTGCGTAATTGAATTATAGAACTACGTAATCGTGACAAGTCCCCTAAAACTTTCTGCTCTCTCAATAAATCTTTAAACACCCTGGCGTTGTGGATATCTCAGTCCATTTCTATAATGTTTGGTTTAAACAAGTTGTCATTCCGCACCGAAGGGGAGAACTGCATTGTTGTTTACAAACAAAACGTCAGCTGAATGCTAAACATTTGTGTACTAGAAAAAAAAAAGAGGAGGGAAATATGTCAGCCAGTGTTTCGCCCCGTTTCCAAACAGGAATTGGCAATGAAAGTCAACAAATCCCAGGAGCGTAGTGTGTTCTGGCGATGGGAAAGGGTGAATAACTTTTCACTTTGCAGTATTATCTTTTCCCTGGTCCAGCACTCAGCGTTTCTCATGAATCCCCTCCATTTTCCACCTCTCTAGTACCTAAAAAAACGGACAGAATCCCACAGCTGTAAACAAATGCCGATATAAGGCGTATAAAATAGAATTGCCGCCCCCTGACAATATCCATATCCGACAGGCGAAGCCAAAATAATTTACAATAACAGGCAGCAATAAGTCGTGGCGATTTCGATTTGCATTTTATTCGATGCGTTGGCGTTTACGGCCACAAGGACACTTTCCACTCGCTAATTCAAACATGGGAAAAGCTTGGGAAAAACCCCGGGAAACAATACGGAGGCGTGGGGAAGTGGCACATAAAATTATGGAAAATCTCAAAATGTAAAAGTTGTCACAGGCAGGCAAAGCCGCAGGAATGAGTTGCCACGCTTTTCGGAATTAAAAATGCTGAAAAGGCAGCAACACAAAAGGCAAATATAAACTCAAGAAAAATGAATAAACAACGCAGAGAATAAGGAAACAAAATCCGACAGTAAATATCCAAGTTGATGTTGGCAACGTGCTGCTGACCCACGTTGGCCAAATTTGCTTTAATGCGGCTGAGGATTTAAATTTATTAGATGAGCGCGGAGGAAACTAATTTATGCGCGAGACCGCAAGATGGCAGCGGAAACGGAAGCGGCGCCTACTTAGTAAGAGGGGCGCGGCCATGCAGCTGGGCGGGATTCCTCCGTTTTAGTGCCCGGGTTGTGTCAACAAATTGTGCGGAGTCCGTGGCCACTAAGGCAGAAACTTTAAGAGGAGAAGAAAATGAGTCTCAGTTAATATACTTTTTTACTCAGAGATAATCAGTTAGTTGCTTTATAGCTGAAATCAAATTGTAGCTAGGATTTTATATTGGGAAAAATAAAAATTAAAAATGGGAATTTATTTGACCTCTACCAGAAATTTATATTGCATATTTTTGGGGATGAAAATTTATTTATGATTATTTTTTGAAGATTTTGAAGTCTATAACTTCTATCTTACTTATAGTTATTTATTTTAAAACTTTTTTTATACTTTTATTTATTTCTGTCTTCATGAATATATTTCTAACCTTCTTTGCCATTTCCCGGTAGATGTCCTTGCCAACACTTGGCTACAAAATAGGTTCTTGCGTCCTTGAACAAATTTTCCGCCTTGACTGTATCTCTTGGCTAAAAAAAAAAACACCCAAATGCAGCGCCCGAGGCTGCTGTTCATTTGGTGTAACCGACTTGGGTGTTTTTCCTGCTCCGCTCAAACAAAAGCTCATTAAAGGACCTCATCCTCATTTCGGCTTCTCGGCAGCTGCTTCGTTTGTCATGTTCCGCAGCTAAGTGAAATGTTGTGTCATTTGCAAGTTGAGTGAGTTAGTTTTTTCATCCTTGGCTCTGAGTTTATTTTAGAGAAGCAGCAGCAGCTCCTCTGCACGAATCGAGGCGGATGCGTAAATCGGGTCACGGACATCATAACAATAAACCCGAATTGTTCAGTTGATTAATTCAAACGGGAGCTGGGCCGAATTTGCGGTCAGTTCGGTGGGAGTTCCTTCAACTCGGTCTCTGTTTGTGCGTGTCGATGACTCTGTGGGTCGTCTGTGGAAATCAATCTGGATGTCATGTGTCCATTGAAATCGAAAGGCGTCACGTAGGTGGCAAGTAAACAACAGACATTTGAGAATGCCACAAATTTAAGATCGTATAAATTCCTAGTTTTACAAGTTCTGAAAAGG